GTGATTTAAAATAAGGTTTTAGAGATTTTAAGTTTGAAAAGTTTATTTTGGTGGGCTAAAAGTAGTAGAATGATATTTATAATTTTGAAAAATTACAAATATATCTCTAATACTTTCGAACTTTCAAATTCACTAAATCATAACTGTTTGATTGATTTTTAATCATTTAAGTTTAACTTTTAAATGTTTTTAAGTTTAATTACTCAAATTGAAGGTTTGAAAGTAAAGAATGATATATTTATAATTTTTTTTAAAAAAATATGGCTAAATTTTTTTTAATTATGAATTTCACAGTATTTTTATCATTTCATTAATTATTAGCCATTTGAGATTAAATTCCAAAAGTTTAATTTTTTTATTTTTCAATTTGACATTTTAAAAGTAATAAATGATATATTTCTAATTTTGGAAAATATCACATATACATTCTCTTACTTTTCTATTAATGGATTTTTATTGGAGTTTTGTGATTTAAATTTCTTAATAATTTTGAAATAGATTTTAGCAATTTCAAGGTTTCCAAATGTTCAAATTAATATTTAGGGTGGATTTGTAATTTTTCAAATTTTGCCCAATTTCAATTGAATCTTTATTAATTCTAATTATTGAGTGATTCCACAACATCTCTTGTTGGAAATGATAAAAGTATAACTTTCAACATTTCAAATATTTATAAATTTATCTTTTCATGTAATTTTTCTATTTAAATCAAGATTCAACTTAACCATTTCATTTAAATTATTTAATTGATCATGTCATCATGATTTCAAAGCATAATTTTCTTTTGTGAAAAAAATTTGAAAAAAAAAGGGTTAAAATACAAAATCACAATTTATAAATGTTAACTCAAATCATCAATTTATTGCATGGATTGTTTTTTTTGAATTTCCCAATGAGTTTTATATTTTGTAATATTTATTTATTTATTTTCCAAATCAATTCTTACTTAGAAATTACAATTTCTTTATTAAATGTTAGTTTCTAACCCTAAGAAAATTTAGGAGCTTATTATAGTCCAAGACTACAAGCAATGATAGTTTTATTAAATTTAAAAATATTTTTATTCTTAATGAATTTTTAATGATTTATTGGTTTTAAGTAAAATAGGAAATTATTAATGATCATTTTTTTAGTTTTATATTTATTTAATTCAATGTATTTTGCTGCATTCATATTATATTCTTTTTTAATTTTTTAATCTTTATTTATTTATTTATGACATTTTTTGAAGTTTTCTTTACTTTTTTTATTTAATTAATTAAGAATTCCAAATTAAATATTTAAAACCATGGGGTCATATAGGTCTGTCGTCTCAACACACCATCATCTCTCTTTTTTGTTCAACACTGTGGTTGTTCTCCAAACATTCTATTTTGCAGCATGAGCCTTTGATCCAATACATAGGTTTCTTCATTGTAACATCACGTGATCTAATGGTGGCCATGCACTCTGAATATAAGGAAATGAACAACATTTGTTCAATATCTCTAATTAAATGATTAACACGAGCCGTCCAAAGGAAAACGCACAATCTAAGCAATCATATGGCTAGAACTAGAATCCTTTCGGCTTGGAAGGATCTCTACATCCTTAAGATGAAGATCCTATGGTCCAAATTTTGTGAATTAAAGATTTTCTTCAAAAGTTGCCAACTATTAAGCCTTAGAGCTAAGAATTAGGGGTTATCTCAATCTGTGTTATCTTACTTTGATTAAATGAATGTAGTGTGATCATCTTGAGTTTGCACACCTTCTTCTACCTCTAATTTAAATAGTTCAAGCTTCTTCCAAGTGCTTGATAAAAATGGCACACATTTTGGCCTTGGAGTGGGTTAGAAGGCTTAGGATGATGTCAATTGAATTGGGGAAGTTGTTTAGAGGGTATATGAGGCTTTTTAGTGATGTTAAAGTAAGATTTTATGGTCTAGATTATTAGATCGTCCTCGGTCCTGGTTTGAAATGAGTAAATTAATGTATAATCAATGGAGGTTTGGGCTAGGATTGATGAGAAAATGATTAGAAGGCTAGGCTTAAGCTTTTTTGACTGAATTTGAGATGAGATGTGTGACAAGCCAAATTAGAGGGTGTTCTGATAGATTTTGAGCTTGGGTTGGGCTCTAGCTAGGCATGTTAGATGCACCAATTATTGGTCCATTGCTGATGTGGTTAGAACAAAGGAGGACTCCAACAAGAATTAACCACTTGGATGGCAAAATCTGTTGTACTACCAATGAGGGAGCTCCATTTGGACTTTGAGAGGTGCATGTCTTCCAAGGGAAGACTGGAGTTAGTTATGCTAACTTGAGTGCAACCCTTGAATTGTTAAATTAGTTGGGAAGGTTGGTGGCATGAGCCAATAAAGTTAGGCCATGTGGAGAGAAGGTTGGACCGGTAATTAGTACACTTGAAGCGGTACTTGGATGGCTTGAGAATGGCTTGCCACGGCTTAGTATTGGCTTTATATCTTCAATAAACTTCTTTTGATGTTGTGTTTCAATAAATTTTATAACAAAAATCATCATCCTAAAAGGAGATAACAACGATAGCCATGAAATCCTTACTGACCTTTGCAAAATAACTTAGTCATGTTCTTTACAAGAAGTATCCAATCATATGATAAAAGATACCCAATTTATTCACATTGTTTATGCTAAGGAATGTGATTACTTCCAAATATTTTTAATGTATTATTTGTCTTCTTTTATCTATATAAATCGTATATTACAATTACTTTAAGCTTTTGAAAAGAAGGATTAATAGTAAAACTCAATCTTACATTTGCTCTCTAGTTTATTTCTTCCTTGTACTTCTTCTTAGTTCATCTCCTTCTTGTCTAGAACCATAATATAACACTTTGTACTATATTCAAAACATTCTACTAAGAGATCATAATGTGATGGCCTCTAAGAGGGTTGCGATGCTGGCAAGGATGAGGTTGAGCGTAACATTGGTTGGGTTGTGGTGTCTAGTAAGGATATTAAGCTGCAGTTGTGATAGTTTTGATTGGATCGTGTAAATGCCAAGGAGATCACGCTTGCCAAGTGGGCATGAGGTCATGGATTTGAGCCTCATCTTTCGAGCTTATATGCACAATGAAATTGAACATCGTTCGAATTTAAAGAATTCAAAAATTGCAAAATAAGACATGTTCTAGTTATTTAAAATTCCTTTAAAAATCTTGAATTTGATTTACTCTCATCAAAACAATAAATATTCTAACCTTATACTCAACCCCTACAACTAAGCAACCGTCAAACCAACCAGACCCTGAATTTTATTTAATGATCCTTAAAATTTATGCTCTAATAAAAAAAATGAATAAAAAATTTATTACACTATATATATATATATATATATATATATATATATATAATAGCCTCCAACTCATTCTCATTCATTAGGACATCTCTAATCATATTTTTCCAGCACTAAAACTTTGGCTTACACAGGCAATATGACATAAATTACATGTGAATGCTTTTTTTCCCTAAAATAAAAGCAAAACCAAGTCCTATAAAAGCCATCATACATTCCTACTTATCTCATATGATGCAATCTAACTCTGTCGGGACCATCAACAGCAGCCTAGATTATGCGTTGCTATGTTGTGGACAAAGATGGATGGCTAGGTTGTCATACACAAGATTTTTATTTTTTTTTTTTCCTTAAGAAATATGAATGCTTAATACACAAGTTTCATTATATGTCCATTATGTTGTTTTCCAATTGGGCTTTGTTAGCCCCATGCATGTATTTACTTTCATTGTGTTTCAAAGTTCTCTTGGTGAACTTCCCAAAAATGCATCCACTTGGTAGAATGAATGACTTTACACTCATCGATAAAATGCAAAATGAATATATTGCTGAAAGCGAGTATTTTATCGGAAAAAAAATTAAAAAAAAATGGGTTGATCACATTTAACGACGACCGTCTGATGACTCGATTCGTAGACCTAACAGAACTAGGGCTGTCAAAAAAGCTCGTTTTTTGTGAACAGCTCGTGTTGGGCTCGTTAAGTAAACGAGTCGAACATGAACAAATTTTTAAAGCTCGAATTATAAACGAGCCAAACACGAACAGCTCTTTGTTCGCTCGTGTTCGGCTCGTTTTAGCTCGAGATAAAAAATTTATATAATATAACAATATATTACATATATTATTTATATAATAATATATTATATATACTTATGTCTAAGTTTAAATCATAATGCCTCATGTGACAATATGGTTAGTGTATTTTTTTGTATATATTTGGTTCGAGTTCAAATCACACATTTTATATCTATTTTTCTTAATTTAATTTTAACGAGCCAATTTCGAGCCCAACACAAACCAAACACGAATATTTAAATCGAGCCGAACACGAACACACTGTTCGTGAGCCGATTTCAAACACGAGCTATTTCGAACGAGCCTAGCCTGAGCTCGCTCAAGCTCGGCCGTTTACAACCCTAAATCTCAAAGAAGGGCATGTTTTACGGAAAAATGAACCCTACAATTTATTAGAATTCAATAGAAATATGACACTCAATCCACACAACAGAGGAAAAATGATTCACGTAACCGGCCCCACTCAGTACAATAAATGCTTATTGTTATTATTGTTGTTGCAATAAGTTTTTTCTTGAATTATAAAATAGCCCAAAAACATGATCCTTTAAATTATAATAATAAATCATTATTATTTTGAAAAATATGTCCATAAACCCTAAACTTATGACAAGCAAATTTATATTTGTATAAGATTAATTAGCTTTAATATTGCATGAGAAAGTGGTAACTGTGCCAACATTAATACTGCTAGATAAATCATCTGTTCCAGAATTGTAGGAGTCCGGCCTGGAACAATAATGCAGGCAGTAATAACAAGGAGTCAAAACCTTTCTGCAACCACAATTCAACTGAAAACATGAATCAATCACTAAAAACTATATAAAACCAAAAAGAGAATTAATATAATCATCAGAAACAAAAAAAAAAAAAGGAAGAAGAACATTAATTTCACAAATCATTTCTCTAAATCTCGAAGAGAAAAACAGAGAGGTGCAGAGCTCAACGAAAACAACTCCTCATGAGCCATCAGATGCATGATCAAATCAACAAAAGCAAGCACTATAATCTTATGAGTCTTCCTGTCATTAAGCCGAAGGTAGCAATGCAATAGCTGCTGCAGCCTTGGCCAATCTCTGAGTTCATGAACCTTCACCATTTCCATCATTGAGCTCCTGAAATCTCTGTAAGGTTCATCAGACACCATAACAATGGCCTCACTCTCCTCGCAGAAACTGTTGCCAGGCACAGTTTTAGCCTTGGGAGCACAGTTCTTCACCTCTTCCATGATGGACTTGGTGCTGCGTGGAGAAAAAAAGAATCTTTTTGGGTTTATGCGGCCATTGGGAGGCAAGCAGCCCTGTTCCTGCTGTTTTGGGAACGGAGAAGAGGAGGAACAGGAAGGAGAGTCTTCCATGTGAGTTTTTTGAAGTTGGGTGATGTGGTCTGGATTGTGGAGGCTTAGGGAAGAGGTACATGCTCTAAAGGAGTGAGTTTTGGCTTCATGGATGCAGCTGGGAGCTTTAGGCTTGAAGCTGGTAATGGATTCTTGGATGGACTTTATGGAAGACTTTAGCTTTCCCATGGCTTTCTTCTGCTTCTTCTGCTTGCTGGAGAGTTGAGATAAGGAGGAAGATTTGATTTATAGGACTTTTTCACTGGCACAGCTATCGTGGGGTATATTGTTAACGATTTCACGGTGGAGTAATGCTAATATGTGCGAGATTGGAAAGCATATTAAAATCTGACCGTGGTGTTAATGATGATGTTGCGATCACAGTCCATAGACTGGGCATGTAGGACAAGCTTATTTATTATTTATTTATTTATTTATTTTTATGGGCATATATTTACATTCTTATATTTGCATACATAATACTCAAATCATTTATATCACTTAAAATTATAATTATTATTATTTTAAAATGAAAAAAAAATCTTTTTAAGTATAATTTTATGGCTTGAAAGTACTATTAATATAAAGGTCTAGTTTTGTAGAATGCATATATATATATATATAGTTAATAGATGAATTATTCATATTTTAAAAATTTTAATGTGATGACTGAATAAAAAATTTGCTTAAAAAAAAACATAACTAAAATATTTATGTCATAAAATTTTAATTTAGAATCATATTTAAAATACTCAAAATTATAGTGTCTTGAATTATAAATATTGTAAATTAAATTGATAAAAAAATAATTATTATATCAATTTTTTCATAATTTTTTTATTGGAAAGGTGAGCCAAAAGGATGATATGAACTATTTGAATCGACATTATCATAAGGAGAAATTGCACCCTCAACTTGGCTGTGAGCCTCGCATCAATCCTTCATTGATGTTCTCAGACTACAACTATGTTAGGTATGACCCTATTGATTTCCGTTGCACACAACGTCGTCAAGGAGAGGACGCTGCCGAGTTCATAGGAGCCTTATCAGGTATGTATGAAAAGCCATCGGCGAATAATAAGGTGTACTTGATGAAGAAGTTATTCAACTTCAAGATGACGGAAGGTGTTTCTGTTGTTCAACAACTGAATGATTTCAATACTATCACAAATCAATTGTTTCGTCCTTTGAAATTGATTTTGATGATGTGATATGTGCATCATTGTTTGCATCATTGTCAAATAGTTGGGAAACTATGAGAATGACAATTAGCAGGTCTGCAGGTAATTCTAAACTGAAATGAGTTCGACACTGAATGTTGATTTCGGAGGGAGATGACAAGACTGGAATTCAAATAAAAGGAGATCAAAATCAAAGTATGGTCAGCAGACAACCTGCTGGAATTGTGGCAAGACCGACCACATAAAAATGAACTGCAGGAATCCCAAGAAGATGGTGAATGATAGCGTAAATGTGGTATCTGAAGAAGTACATGATGCACTATTGCTGACAGTTCATAGTTCTGTTGATGAAGTGAAGAAGAAAGTGGGTCCGGGGCACCCATTCCTATTATTTCACAGACATATGTTGAAGAACCACAGAGCTATGAAGAAATCTTGCAAGATAAAAGTTCAAACAAGTGGGAGCTGACAGAACTTCCATCAGGGAAGAAGACATTACACAACAATTGGGTGTACTAGGTGGGTGAAAACTGAGTGAGAATGATAGTAAGAGGTACAAGACTAGACCTGCTGAAAAAGGCTTTCAGCAGAGGCATGATGTTGCCCATGCGGTGAGAGTTGTAAGAAGAGACAAGAGTGACCCAGAAAAAAAGCTTAGAGGTGAAAAACTATGTGGAGCCTGCTGATATTTTGACTGAGGGTGTTACTTTTGATAAACTGAAGTTGTGCAAAGCTTCAGTTGATCTTCTGGAGTGAAGACAAAGGCTTTGAGTTGCAGGGTGGAGAATTCAAGGTGGAGGAAATCAGTTTGAGGAAGGAGATGTTGTAGTTTGTGTACCAGTCTCCAATTAGGAGATTTGTTAGAAGTGAAGCCCGGTCTGACCACCGCTTCCGCTCCCCCAATCACGAAACATCGCGATCTCCCGCTTTGCGCTCCCACTTCGATCGTGAAATAGTCGCGACTGTTCCTGACTGGCTTCGATTTGCGAACCGTAGGCACCAACCACTCCTGCCTTCCTCTGTTGCGAAGCAAAGCATCCCTAAGTTCCGTCCTGTTTGTGATAAAAGCCTTGGGTGGCTCCCCTTGGGTTTAGAAGTCAGGTTTTATGTTCTTCTTCGGTTTCCTCGGGATAGAGAAAGGAAAGTGCAAGAAGTAGTTCCTTGCAGCAGAAGAAAGAAAGAAGAAGAAGAAGATTGTTCTCCCTAGGCATCTTCGTGGTAGATTGTGGCAGAAGAGAAATTGAGTTTATTTCTCTTGTAAGTTTATCTTCTTCAGTGTATCTCGGTGGAGAGTTTCTTTGGTGTATCTCAGGTGTATAGAGAGAGAAGAATAAAGAGAGAAGAAGAGAGAGAAACGAAGTGAGAGATTCCTATTGTAAGTCGAGGTGATCGACTGATGTAAATTCCTAAAGTAGTAAAATCCTCTACGACTTCGTGGACATAGGCAATTTGCCGAGCCACATAAATCTGTGGTTTCGCTGTGTTACTATTTTCTGGTGGATTTTTCTCATTCTATTTTTTTACTTGTCGGTTGTTCTCCTGTTCGATTTATAGATATACCACACCAACTGGTATATTTAGATCTCGTCACAACAGTAGGTCCACATCTTTTGCTTTAGTTATGAATGTTGTTATCGAACATTTACAGGAGGAATGTTTATGTTAAGTAATGTAGAGGTAGACCTAGAAAAACTTGGTCGCTTTGTATAAAAATGATCTTAATTGATTAGAATTAAAGGAACATATGACACTCAGTAGGTTGCAATGGAGCAAAAAAATTCATGTAAGCGACCCCACTTAGTGGGATAAAGGCTTGTTGTTGTAGTTAAATACAAAATGTGTAATGAATATATCCATTCATAGGGTTGGTGTAACTCTAGAGGAGGACAAAATTTAAGAGTCATTATAGTTTGGTCACATCAAACGTCGACTACCTGCTGATCCTGTTAAGAGAGTACATGTTTTATACTCGACTTATGTTCATGAAGGTAGAGGTAGGCCTAGAAAAACTTGAGAATTTCGTAAAAATGATCTTAATTTTTTAGAATTAAATGTAAAAATGACACTCAATATGACACAGTGGAGAAAAAGACTTAATTTATAGTAAAATTTAATATTTATGTTGGCCCGAAATATTGCAATTGCTTAATTTTTCCAATTTGGGCTTGTGGCATATAAAGTTAAGTTTATTTCTTTCACTCTCATCTTATTTTGGCTTTTGTAGCATATCAAAAAATTTACATACATACCACTAAATCCCTATTTATTTATATATTTATCGCTTAAACTTTGCATTTTAATACATGTTTTCATGCACATGTAAAGTTGTATATTTGCAAAAAAATAGAAGTTTAGTTGTTAGATATGTAATTACACAAGAATTGAGAGTGAAATTTCCTATCTATAGTTTAGGTTTAAGGCAATAAATGATCCACGCCATGTCAGATCAAAATTTTTAGTAGGATCGATTCATGATCTGATTTCGTACATAGGCAGGTCTGTAATTTAGGGCTTAGCGCTTTTATCATTAATGTTGTACATGTTCGAGAATTACGACATTTAAGTTTATGCTATATATGTGTTACGTTATGTAGGGTATGTCTATGAATTTAGTTAGAATAACAACAATTGCCCGAAATTTAATCTTGGATTGATTTTTTTTTGAGCCGACCAAAGCAGATCGTAGGTATGTTGAAGATTGTTAATTAAACTATCATTGATTCGACTGAACGTATAAATCAATAATGAATTAATGAATAGTTAAAGATAATATTTTAATTTTACTGTGTTTGTCTAGAATTAAGATAAATCAATTTGCTAAATCAATTAAGACGTCTCTTTCTAATATTATCTGTAATTGTAACTGGTCCAAGCCTTTCACATATATATTTGTTTCGTATTTTGTTTCTAACTATAAAGCTAATTATATAACTAAACATTCTCGTCGCCGCAACCCCTAATGCAATTAATTGCACATCTCAAAATATTTTCTTAAAAGAAGATATATCCGATGTAAGAGTTTTCGTTGTTTCCTGCTTTGTGAAATATAATTTCCTTTGCCTAAATGAAAATTCACTTATAAATCTAATTTTCATTTCCAAATAAAAATTTAATTAGAAATCTAATTTTAATTGTCGTAATTTCGATTTTGCATTGGATGGTACAGTGAAAACTCTTACAACATATGAAATGTATCCTTATAAGAATATATATTTCGAGATGTGCACTTAATCTCGTATGAGGTTTGCAGAGATAAGAATACTTAAATATATGATTGGCTTTCCACTCAGAAAGAAAATGCGAAAGAAATAAACTCGTGCAAGGTTTGGTGTAGCTATGGTGACAAACAAGATTAGATTAACAAATATGAAAAAAAATGGACTGATTATGACTCTTTGACAGTCCTAAAAACAATGAGAGGTTAACATTCCGCTTTCTAGTCGCTCTTGGGTCGAATAGAAAGAAATTTGATCCAAAATTTTGTTTCGTAGTTCGGTTCGTTTATTTCAATCTGATCTCTATCAGAGCTAAAATTCAATGCAATCAATTTTTGAGTGGTTAATGTCGTTCCAGATTTCTAAAATGTTTAGTTCTTTTAACGATTTGATGGTCTATTACTATAACTCTGCGATTATGTCAACTACTAAAATTAAAGTCTATGTATGCATTCAAATGTACTTTGTAATATGTTGATTATTTTAAGGTCTTTAATTAAATATGAATATTCGTACATCAAGATCGTGAATGTATAATAGGCTTTATTTAGATAGAAAATGAATCATTGAAGAGTTCTTGAATGGTGTAGAGGCCTTGTGGCTGCAACATCACAACTTTCATCTACTCTATTTGAGGGTAGGTTTCCATGTCTGACAACGACTTTATATATGCTTAAAATATAAGAAATTGACACCACTACTAGAAGATTTAAATCTTCGGCAACGACGCCAAAAACTTGACGCAACTTTTAATATGCAAGAATTTATGAACCCAGATTTATATATTTATAATGATTTTGTAAAGTCACAATTTCAAACGCAAGTATACGTATCGCTCAAGTAATACATGGCTCTA